CTTCCAAAAGTCAGCTCCGTGATGTCTTATTCATCGGTGTCTCAGAACAGAAAATGGTCTGCTTTTCTCATCCATAAATTAAGGCACAAAAGAGGCTGGCGGGTCCCTGGATGCATCAGCTGGTCTCCACGTGAGCAGCCGCTGTTTCCCTCTCTCCATGGGTCTGACTCCAGCTGCTCCTACACATGCTCAGTTCAAATCAGACTGAGGCTTCCTCTCTGCAGACTGTGGACGGTTCTGAGCGGCGCTGCTGAAGACGCAGTGTCACTGGGAGGCTTCAAGCGCTCGTCTTTGTGGCACTAAACGCACGCTCTTGCTGTTCCTCAAGCTCACCTGCCTCCTGTCTTCACCCTTCCTGGGGAATCCTCAAGTTCTTTACCTAGTGAATCCCACTCATGCTTTAAACCTCAGCTCAGAGGTTGCCCTCTGCAAGGAAGCCCACCTCCAACCTCTCCAGACAGGGCTCATCGCCCAGTTCTCTCATCAACCCTTCATTGTTGAGCTGGTCACATAGCACAGACAGAAGGTCTCCTTCTCTCTCCCATCGCAAGACCGTAAGTGTCATGAGCTTGAGAATGATCATATGATGCCTGTGTCTGCCCACTGGGGTATATGACAACCAGCATGTTCTGTTTAGTGAATTGATGAAAGAAAACAGAAATAAATAAAGGAACGATGCAGTTTCTAACCAGACACCATCCGTCCCAGATTTCCCATCCAAGTGGTGCCTGTAACTTATTCTTGGTAGGCATGCGTTGGTGAGGAAGCACACAGGGCAGTAGAACTGTGTCTGCAAAAAGTGGTGTTGTTCTGTGTGTGTGCTCAATTGTGTCCAGCTGTCTGTGACCCCACAGACTGCAGCCCCACTAGGCCCCTCCGTCCATGGAATTTTCCAGGCAAGAATACTGGAGTGGGTTGCCATTTTCTGGTCCAGGGGATCTTCCCCACCTGAGGATCGAAGCTGCATCTCTCATGTTTCCTGCACTGGCAGTGAATTCTTTACCACTGTGCCACCTGAAAAAGTGGGGAAATGCTTCTATCCAAAATAATAACTCCCCTAGGAAACATTAAGCCAAAGAAGTCTTGAGATATATATATATAGATAGATAGATAGATATAGATATCTTGTATTCATCCTCCTGAACTCCTGTAGAGGTCAGATTTCCAATGAAATCTGAAAAGTGAAATTTTGTAAAAGTACCTGATTTTTATTTTACTAAGTGGCTATAATCCCAGGCCTGAAAAATATCAGATTCTGTAACCTCAGTTGCTCTTTGATGAAGCAGTCCCAAGATTTTTCACTCTGGTAATTACTGAGCAATCCATTTCTGCCTTTAGGCCTGGCATAGGATTCCTGCATGCCTATTTATTTTCTAGCTAATTTGGTTCCTTTACATCATGTGACCTTCAATGATCCATATGCAATATGGGAATTATCCTAGCAGGACTTTCTCCAGAAGGTTCACAGAGGTGTGCTAAGCATAAGTAATACATCAGTTTTTAAATCCAAGTGGAATGAGTCCATATCATATGTCCCAGGAAAACCTGTAATGCTATAAGAGAACCAAAGAGCTTCTTTGCCATTTTCTGTAGGAAAATGCCTCACCACGTACGTCTTTTTCTATGCATTCTACAGTAGGATATTTATGGGGTCGCAGAAAGACACTAAAAATGTACCCAGGCTGTTTTAGCTCATATTTATTAACTGTTTAATACAAGCCAGGAGTTGTGCCAAGGCCTTCACCTGCTTTGTTTAATTTTTTCTCAGATCCTGGGGGGGGTTCTTTATTTCAGTTCTGTAGATAAGGAGCTAGAAGCCCAGAAACTGACAACTTCTCCAAGGTCACAGAGTCAGCATTCCAGGGCCAGTCTGCTGAGTCCAGAGCCTGGAGCTATAACCAGTGTCCTCTGGACTCCACGGCAGGCCCCTCTACCTCCTGGTCAAGAAGAGTTTTTTTCCAGCATGTGTCATTCCAAGACAGCTCTCATAAGGTCTTATTCCTTTGGGCATTTTACACTATGATCTCTCATATGATCTCTTTTTATAAAATTATATTTATTTAAAAAATATGGTTCAAATATTCATCATGCACAGACCTGTAAGCCTTCTCTGTAACTTTTACATAGGAAAAAGTCCCATGGGGGAAAATAATTGTGTCCTCTTGAACTACATTTTTAGATTTTGATATAAAATGTCTCGAGTGGGTACAGATTACTGTCTTTTCCATTGAAAACAGACAGTGGCATTCCGTGCACTGCTGTCCATAGTGGACATGTTTCACACGGAGCTTGTTAGGTCCTCAAACACTCCTTAAACATCTAGACCGCACACAGGGAGGGTGTGGAAACAAGGGCTTCCTGGGTGGCACAGTGGTAAAGAGGAGACACGGGTCATTGAGATTCCTAGATCGGGAAGATCTCCTGGAGTAGGAAATGCAACCCGCTCCAGTATTTTTGCCTGGAAAATTGCATGGACAGAGAAGTCTGGTGGGCTACAGTCCAGGGGGTCTCAAGAGTCGGATAAAACTGGTTGACCAGCGTAAGCGTGCGTGCACACACACACACACACACACACACACACACAGAAATAGGGCAGAAGAAGACATGGCCCTGGTTCTGCAGGACCTTAGAGCCCAGGAGTTCACCACTCTGAGGAATTCGCAGCCCACAGACAGGCCGTAGTATCAGGTCCACCAAAGCCCATAAAATCAGAAGTTCAAGACAGAAAGAAATTACAGCCACCTTGAAAAACATCAACTTGTTTTATTAGAAAAGGCTCTTGAAGGCCAATTTCTCCCCTCTGGCTTCTGTCCTTAGTGCTTGTTGACCATATTGGAAGTCAGTCAGTTGAGTCACTCAGTCGCGTCCAACTCTTTTCGACCCCATGGACTGCAGCACGCCAGGCCTCTCTGTCCATCACCAACTCCCAGAGTTTGCTCAAACTCATGTCCATCATGTTGGTGATGCCATACAACCATCTCATCCTCTGTGGTCCCCTTCTTCTCCTGCCTTCAACCTTTCCCAGTATCAGGGTCTTTTCCAATGAGTCAGTTCTTTGCATCAGGTGGCCAAAGTATTGGAGCTTCGGCTCCAGCATCATTCCTTCCAATGAATTTTCAGGGCTGATCTCCTTTAGGATGGACTGGTTGGATCTCCTTGCACTCCAAGGGACTCTCCAACACCACAGTTCAAAAAGCATCAATTCTTCATCACTCAGCTTTCTTTATGGTCCAGCTCTCACATCCATACATGACTACTGGAAAAACCATAGCTTTGATTAGACAAACCTTTGTCAACAAAAAGGACCAGGCCAAGAGTAAAGATAGAGGGAAGAAGCCACAGCTAACTTCAAAGGACAGAGCCAAAGAAACATGTGGGTTGCCTCTGAGCATCCAACAGCATGACTGAAACTTTTGTTTCCAATGGACATTAAACCAGGGAACACGTGAATATGCTAAAAGAAACTGAAAGTCAAGCAACACAAACTGTTACCTGGTGAGCTGTCCCTCCACCCTCAGAAGCAGCCTCTCTGCCTTGGCTCCTGGGCTCCTCCAAAGAGAGCTGTGGGCATTCAGAATGCATGGAGGTTTATCATACTCCAGCTTCTGGTCTGGGGCTTCCCCATGGCTCAGCGGGTAAAGAATCTGTCCACAATGCAGGAGACACTGGAGACGTAGGTTTAATCCCTGGGTTCAGAAGATCCCCTGGAGAAGGAAATAGGAACCCACTCCAGTACTCTTGCCTGGGAAATCCCATGGACAGAGCAGCCTGGTGGGCTACAGTCCACGGAGTCACAAAGAGTCGGAAACAACTCAACAACTAAGCACGCACGTGGCTTCTGATCTGAGCCAAGCGAAGCTTCAGGGCAAAGCTGAGCTGCCCAACCTGAAGGCCAGGCCACAGGGATAAGTCAGAAAAGCACAAAATGGAAAGTTAAATCAGAGCGACCCGCTCCAGTCCTGGTCAACTCTGGGGCGGGCCTGTCATCCACTTGCAGGGTGCTGGGAACCAGACACTGGGAGGAAAGGGCGGGGGGGGGATCCAGCCCTCCACCCTCATAGCTCAACTTACAGCTCTGCTATGCACGGCCTATCTTCTAGAGAGAAGTAAAGGATGCGCTGGGCAACCCAAGTGGATAGGGGAAAGATTATGGAAAATGCCAAGAAGGTTTGAGAGGCTCACAAGGCCCAGTGGCTCTCCAGGGCTTCCTCGTGGGGTGCTAGGGCAGGTGCTGATCGGTGGGACCGGGCTCAGTGGTGAGAAGAGAAGCTTTTTAATGTCTGCTCACAAAACCACTCTCCCAGCATCTCAGAAACACCCAGCTGGTGTGCATCCTCCAGGACAGCCCACCCAGTTACTTATCTCTGTATTCCACGATATACTTATAAAGCAATGAACAGTCCACGGAACTAAGTCTGGGCGTCTGTCTGGCCAAAGGCATCGCCCCCACCGGCACCCTCGGCGGGGAAGGCCGGGTAGAAGCAGGCTGCAGACTTCCGAGCCTCAATTCGCCTCCCTCTGCCACCTCCCCTTCACCCCTCCCTCTCCCGCCCCTCCCCCGGTTATTTGGGAGATTAGAGTTCATTAATTAAATCCTGTGCTTAGATCGAACTGTAACATTATTCCAATCACATTTGTCTTGCAGGCGGCAGAGGAGACGGCAGCCTCGCTGGAAACGCGCGGGGGAGCCTGAGCCGGCGGCCGGAGACGCACGGCGCGCCGCTCCAGCGCCGCGGCGCCGCGCAGACCCTCCGTCTCCCTGCTTAGCCTCCCGGGCCTGCTCTCCCCTGCCTCCGGGGCCCGGCTTCTCTCTGGGGCTCCTGCCCGCCCCTACCTCCGGGCCCCTGCGCGGCTCCCCAGCCCGGTCCCCCTCCCCCCGGCACATACGCTGACACGCGCGCGCGAACACACACACTCACACACACACGGACACGCCAGCGAGCTGCTGGCCGCTCAATGGACCGATTTCCCCGCTTTTCCTGATCCCAAGCCGGCCCGGGATGAGAAATTGCAAAATGGCCCGGGTCGCCAGTGTGCTGGGGCTGGTCATGCTCAGCGTCGCCCTGCTGATTTTATCGCTCATCAGCTACGTGTCCCTGAAAAAGGAGAGCATCTTCACCACTCCCAAGTACGCCAACCCGGGGGCGCCCCGAATGTACATGCTCCACGCGGGATTCCGGTGAGTGCGGGGCCTCTGGGCGCCGGCGGGTTATCAGGTTTATGGGGGCGGGAGGTCGGGGGGTGGGGGGAGGGAGAGTGTTTTGCCTTCTCCGAGACACTTTGGGCAAGATAACTGCGTGGTCCTTCCATGCCTCGCTCTGATTCTTAACACCATCGCCATCCACCTCCTGCTTTTTTTTTTTTTAAACCCAGACGTCGTCCTCATCAAAGTGATTGCATTCTCATATTCTTCTTTGGCATCCCTTCCCCCATTTCAAAAATGGGGGGGTGGGGGTGGGGAGGGTGGTTTAAGGAGAATGATGGTGGATGGAGAGGCCTTGTGTGTATCTGGGAGTCGGAATGGAGAGATGGACATGCGTGGCGGTGAGCGCCTACCCCGCGCGCGGACCGGGGAGAGTTAATGGCGCAGGCGCCGGACTCGTCTGGCGCGCTCTCCTGCTTTCCTCCCCCAACCCATGAGCCATCAGGCGCGGGTCTGTTCTCTTGCAGCCCCTGGGGTCCTCGACCTCGATCCTTACCCCCGCCCCGCCATAGCCCACCGCCCACCCGCCCCCCCAACTCTTTCCGGGATTTCCGCAATCCCCCCCCCCGCCCTCTGCGGGAAACGAGCCGCCTAAGGGCCGCCTCCCCTCGCCCCGGGTCCAAGTCACCGCCCGGCGCGAGGATGGACTGAGAAGGCAGGCGCCGGGCGAAGCTTGGCGGAGCTCGTGGAGACCTTCTGCCCCAACTGTGACCGCCCCCACCTCCCGAGCTCTGCCAACGGAGACTCCAGAGGGGCGGGTGGCGAGTACGAACTGCTCCCTGTGGTCTCAGCCAGACCCGAGGTGCGAAACCCAGGGAAGGAGTGGAGCGGGCGTCCGGAGGGTCCCCGGTCAGGGGACAGGGGCTGAAACCAGACCGAGGCTCGGGAAGGAAGAGGTTAAGGAAGGAGCCACCCCCCCAACCCACCCCCCACCAAGCCTTCCCCAGGGTCTTGGGTTCATCTGCCCTTTTCTCCAAAAATCAATCGGGGCGCGGCGCGGGGGCGGCGCGGGGGCGCGCGGGCCGGGCCCGCCTGGGCGCGGCCGCTGTCCGCGGTGCTGACTCCCCGGCCCTCTCCCGGCGCGGCTGCTGTCCGCGGTGCTGACTACCCGGTCCCCGCTGGCGCGTCCGCTTCGGGCCGAGCGCCGGGCTCCCGGCCCTGCTCTCCGCGAGACGGCCATTTTATGGTCTCTCCCGCGCCCGGAGAGATGGACAATGGAGACGGGCTTCCCCGGTTCCCCCTCTCCCTCCCGAGTGTGTGTGGGGAGCGAAGGTGGCTCAGACGAGCAGGGGGCTCGGGGCGGGATGTCACCGAGGTCGGCACCGACTAGCCGCGCCCCGCCGCCATCCGGCCGGACCCTGACGGCTACCGTGGCTTCCCCGAGCTGAGCCCAGCGCGCCTGTCTGTCCCCATGCTCCTCTCCAGGTCGCAGTTTGCGCTGAAGCTTCTAGATTCGTCTCTGGTGCCCTTCCCGCATTCTGTGACCCATGAACTCCAAGCCAGACCTAAGTGGACATTTAATCGGACGGCGTTTTTACATCAAAGGTAGGATAGGAGACCCAGGAGATGTCCTGAGTTCTGGAGCTCAAAACCAAAACAAAACAGAACAACAGAAGTCCACTCCCCCCAACCCAGGGTGTATCTGCATTTCCTTCTCGGCCTGACTGCACAAAGGCTGATTAGTAGCCCTCTTCTGTTTATGGAGTGCCCCCTCATAAAAGGAAAACATCAATAAGGCCAACTTGAAAAGAAGTAAAAAAAAAAAAAGTTGTTTTCAGTATTCTCCTTAACTTGAGCTTAATTGAGCACCATGATTTATGGTTAGCATGTATGGCTAATACACCAAAGCCATTTATTTTAAAAGAAAAAAAAAGTTAATGACAAAAAGACCACCCAATGCATTTTCATTGCCCCTCATTGGGGAAAAGAAAAAGAAAAAAAAAAGTAAAAAAGTATTCTCACTGAAATACAGAAGACCCTATACTTTATCCCCAACAAATTACTAGTGAAAAATCTCAGCCCAGATATATTCAGATGTTTAAGTATGGTTTTGGTTTTTGCACCTGATTGTTCTCATTAAACTTTTATAGATTTTAATACATTGTAAAAGCTACCCAAAATTACTCTTCATTGTCTTATAGCAGCTTTATTTATACATGGAGTTTGTGTGTGTGTGTGTGTGTGTATGAACCTTTCTTTTTTGAGGTGGGGGAAGAAGGATGAGATTTATGCGAATGTATGTATTTTCCTCAGTGATTTCTGGTCTACTCTTAGCAATCCCAGATAAGTCATTACTTCTTCCTTCTTGGTGGGATAATTACACTGCTAAATGGAATGTGAGCCATCTAGTGTATTCATTAGGGGTATGAATACTTATTTTACAAAAGTTTATTTTACCAGTCTATTTAGGGTGTTGTGTTTTGGTCATAGAATTTCTAGTTATCGCACACTTTTAATCTAATGATGGAATTAAAACAAATTCAGTAGCTATCCATGGTACATGAAAATGTTTACTTGAAAAGCTGGCATAGAGTCATATGATTATGATTAAAAATTTTAAAACACTGTTTAATTAAAAATTAGTCCATGATAATAATTGATTAATTCTAAAACTCTGAAGTGTTTTCTTTTTTAACTTTTGTGGTTTTAATCCAACTTAATTTTCTAGGCAGCCCAGAAAATTATCATGGGTCAAATATATTATATATTTCCCAAAACATATTTCTGTCTCAGTAAAAATGTTTAGGCCATGTGATCCAAATAACCAATTAGAACAATATGTCCTTCTCAACACTTCCCTTCTTTCAATCCATTTATTAGGTAATCTTTAATTAATTTGCCTAGTGTCACTTCAAACTTTTACCTTTGTAACAGTTTACAGTGAACACTTGTGAACTTTGGAGGTTTTGGTTTAAAGCCTTCAGTGTATGTCACTCTGCATTTTGACAAATTGAAGTAATTTTTTAAAAAGTAAGATTCCAGGTAAAGTGATAGTGTGCAAAGCATTTAGTTTCATTCCTGCCATTTTGGGGGGCAAAAGACAGAGGAAGTTCAATGTGATTTCTTAGAACTGGAGAACCTAGTAGCAGAGTAACACATGACTGATCTCTCTTAAGTGTTTTAAATCGCAGAGACTTTAAGAGGAGATGGTTAATTTTGCTTAATGCTCAACATGAAAGCAACCAGAAATTAGTGCTAAGTACCACCCTTGCCTGTTTATCCTCTGAATTCTTAGAATATACACATGTTTTCAGGATTTACAATAGCTTCTTTTTCTAAAGAATTAGGTTTCTCTAACTCAATTGGGTTTCTATATAATCAAGTAGAAAAAGATTCCTTTTTCATTATTCAAAGGACAGTAATGAGATTATCATCTCATTTCTATTAAATATTCAACTACTCCCACTGCTATTACCATTTTTATATTTTAATAATAGATAGCACCATACTGACTCATATCTATTTGACTCTTATCTGGACATCAGTGATATTTGATATTCCTTGTACACTATAGTCCAATAGCAAACAAGTAGTCCCTAGTTGCAAGCTGTAAGTCACCAAAGTTTGTGCATTAGTGTGAGCTCTTTGAGGTCTTTGTAAATTGTCTCCCTGTATCTTCTCACACAGTTTGGCCCATGCCTCCCCCTTGATCAAATACAGTTTTTGGATAGAGCAGAAACCCAAAGAATCAGCAACTGAAAGCCATAAATCACAACATTTACAAGGCTTAGAGGATTACACCCAGAAGCTGAGAGGCTAGAGCATGTCTGTACTGAAGCAGTTCTCCCTTCACTTTTTATGAATGTATAATCTTTCTTGGGTTCAGTGTGCCTACAGTTCTTGCCTGAATGAAACAGTGTAAGACCTAAGATGGAAAATCAATTCTTTTGAATGGGATACATTTAATGAATCTCTTTTTATTTTAGGCAAGAAATTCTTCAGCATGTCGATGTAATAAAAAATTTTTCTTTGACCAAGAATAGTGTTCGGATTGGACAACTGATGCACTATGATTATTCCAGCCATAAATATGTTTTCTCTATTAGCAATAACTTCCGATCACTGCTTCCAGATGTGTCTCCCATTGTGAATAAGCGTTATAACATTTGCGCTGTGGTTGGAAATAGCGGGATCCTGACAGGGAGCCGGTGTGGACCACAGATAGATAAGTCAGATTTTGTTTTCCGTTGCAATTTTGCCCCTACGGAGGCTTTCCAAAGAGATGTTGGAAGGAAAACCAACCTAACCACCTTCAACCCCAGCATCCTGGAAAAATATTACAACAACCTTTTGACCATTCAGGACCGTAACAACTTTTTTCTCAGTTTGAAAAAGCTTGACGGGGCCATTCTTTGGATCCCTGCCTTTTTCTTCCACACGTCGGCCACTGTTACCAGGACATTAGTTGACTTTTTTGTTGAACACAGAGGTCAGTTAAAGCTCCAGTTGGCTTGGCCTGGAAACATAATGCAACATGTCAACAGGTGTGTATGTTTTATTGCCTTTAACTCACAGCCTACCAGATGGCAAATCAATATCGTAATCTCTTGGGGGTGGGAGCTAGCTATCTGATTAGTTAGTTGTTGTGGTTAGCATAGTACCTTAGAACACATTCTGATGTTTTGTAATGCATGAACGGATGGTTCTAGGTAAGAAGTTCAATCTCCTACCCCAGCTGGTAACCAAGTGTCAAATGGAGAGACTGGTGTTTCATCAGCTTTGCCTCTCCACCAGCCCCCCTGTCCCCTTCCATGGTGGTAAGCCCAACAAGCAGTCATGGAAATCACCACAAATGAATAATTTTCTCTGAATGGACAGCTACGTCCCAATAATGCCAACGACTAAAGTAGACAAATCAAGTGGTTTTCTTAAAGATGCAATTGACTTTAAATGTTCCTTTTTATTTGATGGGTGTTTTTTTTTTTTAGATGGCCAAGATTAGAAAACCACCTAGACAAGTCAAAATTGTATAATTGGCTTTAATCATTGGAGATTTGAGTGCCAAAACATGTGAAAAGTATTTTAGCAGCTTGTTGTTATCCCCTGTAATTTGAAAGACAGATTAACCAGGATACAGTATTTTCATCTAGTCTGATGAGTCTTAACTCTGGCTACACCTCAGAATCACTTGGAGAGATTTAAAAAATACTCTTGTCTGGGCTCTGCTTCAAGAGATCCTAACGTGATTTGTCTGGTGGGGAAGGAGAGCGGCTCAGGCACTTGGCATGTCTTAATAACTCCCCTGATGATTCTAATGAGCAGCCAGAATTGGGAGCAGGCATTTAAGGGCTTCCGTGGTGGCTCAGATGGTAAAGAATCTGCAATGCAAGAGACCTGGATTTGATCCCTGGGTTGGGAAGATCCCCTGGAGAAGGGCCTGGCAATCCACTCCAGGATTCTTGCCTGGAAAATTCCATGGACAGAGGAGCCTGGTGAGCTGCAGTCCATGGGGTCTCAAAGAGTAGGACTGAGCGCCCACACACACACATTTATAAAATGCAAGGAATTTTATAAAGCAAGATGAATTGCAGAATTTTTTTTAATAAATAATCTGAGGAAATTGCCTCACCTCTAATTTCCCCTATTCGAGTAGCCCCAGTGTCCTCACATACTCTCCAGGTGTTACTGCAAGTTAGAGTGGGTTCTGGAAGGTCTGGTAGTCAAGGATTCTAAAATTTTTATCACATCACAGATGGGTGCATACATAGTAGACATGCTGTAGTCCTCTAACATCTTCCAGATTTAAGATCTTGTAGTTGACCTCTCATGTAAGGAGGAATGATCATGTATGTAATCAGCTGGTATGTATCTAGCAGACAGGCTGATGCCAGCATTTATAGTCCACGCCAGAACTTTTTCTTGGAAAGAAAAAGGGCACTATTAAGAATTATGACAAAGATAACAGACAAAAACTGGGGCTATTTCAGTTTTCCAGGATGTATGGTTACCTTTTTAAGAGGTAATATAACCCAGCTTCTAAGTTTAAAGACGTATCATCTGAGGTACAAACAATGAGGTATTTACTGAACATCACTGCCCAAAATGGGCAGAACCAGAATTAGAAGCCAGGCATCCTGCCAACCTGCCCTGCAGTCTTTCTGACTTCATCATTTTGCTCCCCTCTCACTCCATTTAAGCACAGCTGTACCGAAAGAATCGTCAGGAGTCATTCTAACTCCTTAGGTAAGAATATGAAAACAAAGACTGAACTTGTGAATTTCACCTGGAAGGGGAATGTCTATGTGAAGCCTTCGGGTAGTGAAGAAGGGTCTAACTGCATATTACAGAATCTTCCGGAAGCAGCCTGTGTGATCCGCCTGGCCCCCAGCCTCTCAGGAGGCCCATGGAGTAGCCAGAATGACCCACTTGGGCTTAGACCAAACACAGTGGTTCAACGAAACCTTGGAGGAAGTACGGTCTGTGGAAATCTGATTCATGAACAGTTTGAGTATGCTTGCACACCAGTCATAAGTGCACAGGCACACACATGCACACATGTACACACTCCTTCACGCCACATCAGTCTCAGATATTTGGCAGTTTAGGTAGCAAGGCTTCAAATTACTCTCTAAATATGGAAGGCACAGCAACCATTATTTAGCATTTTTTACAAATTCAGAAAGTGTGTAAATACTTTTCTTAGGTTCTGGCACATCAAAGAAGGGCTTGGAAGCTCTTGGTTAAGACAAAGGAACAGGAAATGTGGTTTTCACAAAAGGGTAGAAAAAAATAAGGCCCCACAATCTTTTCAAACCCACGAAGAAAGATTCAATCTCTGAGTTTGGATAAGAAAGTAAGAGAAGAGGGCCCCTTAGATCCGCCCTTTACCTATGAGGGGCATGGCCATTCTCACTGATGGGCCTTTGCGGCATCCCCAGTGAGTCAGAGATACCACTCTTTAGGACAACCCAGAGCAGGGCCGCTCCAGTATTTCTTGCCCGGAAACTTCCATGGACAGAGGAGCCTGGCATGCTACAGCCCGCGGGGCCACAGAGTCGGAATGCCGGAGCGGCCGCACACACAGGAGCAGGGACGGCTCCACGCGTGCGGCTTCCGCGGTGACGGACGAGCCCGCCTACAAGGGCCGGCACTTGGCTTAACCCTCTGCCATTGCCCTCTTGGAATTCCCGACTAATTTTTAAATAAGGGCCCGCATTTTCATTTGGCATTGGGCCTCACAGAGTAGATGGCCCTGCCCTGAGAGTGTTTTGTGGTCTTCAGGATAGATTCAGAGCAGGACTGGCTACGTTACTTGGATAAATTCGCTTCCCCCAACTGGTCGCAGTGCCTCGTCTGCGGAAGCCTTCGGCCCTGGCCTCTGAATCCACCTGTGCTTATTGTCCCACAGGTACTGGAAAAACAAGCACTTGTCGCCCAAACGGCTGAGCACAGGTATTCTCATGTACACCCTGGCGTCAGCAGTCTGTGAGGAGATCCACTTGTATGGATTCTGGCCTTTCGGATTTGACCCCAACACAAGGGAAGACCTTCCGTACCATTACTATGACAAAAAAGGAACCAAATTCACCACCAAGTGGCAGGAATCCCACCAGCTGCCGGCCGAGTTTCAGCTGTTGTACCGAATGCATGCGGAAGGGCTCACCAAGCTGACTCTGTCGCGCTGTGCCTGAGAACTCCGAGCCGGAGCGCCCGACGGCCGGTTTCAAAGTGCCCGACTCACGCCGAGTAGCCCGTCAGAATAGACAGACCCCCAGAGAGTCTCACATAAGGACCGTCTGCCCGTTAAGAGCAAAGGGGTCTTCCCTCCCCTTCTCCCTGCTCTTTTAAGGGTCTCAGCAACACAGATGCTTTGAAGCCTCGTGATCTGAACTTGATAAAGGGACGGTTGCATTGGGAACTCTGCTGCTAACGAAATGGCTTGAAGTATTTTCACGTTTGTATTTTAATAATAAACTGCCTCCTATTTTTTTTTTTCTAGTGAGGATTAGAGCTGCAGTGTCTACAGCTTTGCTCAGATAGAGTTCTCGCAATCAGAGGCCTCTGGGCAGAGGTTTGGGCAGGATTTCAGTTTTGCCTGGGTGGGATCAGACTCTTCGAAATGAAAACATAAAAAACTGGTTTGTGATATCCTCTCTGTCTTCCTCTCTCCTCCCCCCTTGTCCCTCCCACCCTCTCCCTTCCACCTCCTACAACCACTTTCCTGGCTCCACCACCATGGAGTTTTATATTTGGCTAGGAGTCATGTTGAAATAGCTTTGCTTGTATGTCTTGCATCTGTAATTGATAGGTTCAAGGCTCTGGGTAACTGATGTTTCATAACAAACTGACGGGTCATGATGGATCCCCTTGTGATCCCTTCTATAAGAAATGCCCCTCGGGAAGTTCTCACTGGTCCATGCAGCCATCCTGCAGCAGAGCAACTCCTCTCTGCAGGGAGGCACGTGATCCAGGGCATTTCTGACCATCACTAAAAAGCCTGTGGCGCGGGTGGCATCTCCTCTCGTGACCTGAGTGCCATTATGGGAAATGATCCTGATGCCACACCTTCAAGGGTGTTCCAGCCTGGGCGCAGTGCCTCCCACTGTCCTGGGCGCAGTGCCTCCCACTGTCCCAACCCAAGCACTGGACTGGGACTTCCCCCAGAAGTAGAGGCGGGGAGTCAGCGCAAGTCTGGCACTTATAGAAGAAGAGGAAGGAAGGAGAATACTTAGAAGCTGTTATGGACCCCATAGCCCTTGAAGTGTTGTAACTGTGGTCAGGGTCTCTGAGAACCAGCAGGGTCAGAGGAGGTGCTCTGAGGCTGGCCAGGCCCCCCCATGAACGGCGCTGAGGAGAGTTCATCCTGAGTGCCACTGTGTCCATCAGCACCGCTCCAGAACTCCAAGGCGATTGTAGACATCAGATATTCCCTTTTTCCGCTGAAACTGGCTCTACAAATCTAGCATTTCAAAAGGAAAAGCCACTGCTTTGTGGCAAGACTGGTACTAAACGAACCCTTGGAACTGGAGACGTGTGGGCCTGCTGCAAGGGGTTCACCAGCCGTTCCCCTTTCAGCCTTAGGAGTAGAAATCACGTCACTGCTGTCCCCAGCTTTTCACTGAGCAGCATTTGTTCTTCCAGTTCAGCCCAAAGTTTGGCCAAGTCGATGTTAAATTTTAATAAGAGTTTCTTTCTTCTCTCCAAATGCCAGTCAAGCACATTTATAATACATGTGGGTGGGGTAGCTTGTTCTTTAACAGAAATCTCATCTAGATTGCTTGTAATGTTACAAATACTGTTTAAACTCATTGCTATTGTTCAGTAAGCAGCTCACTGCCCCTCCTTGGGAAGGTACTGTCACGCTGAAAATCAAACCAAATATAAGTCTGATTTGATGAGGAAAGATGTGGTTCTTATGCTCATGCTCTGCCTGGCTCTGAAGAGAAGCTGTTTTATTCTAATTTTTCCCAGAAAGCTAATCAGGGCAGCTTACATAGAACCAGTTGCTAACCAGTGACAGAAAACTCATACAGGTTCAAAAGTGTTACCACTGGTAACACACCTCACTCTGTTGTGTGAGTGACAATCATCCAAACAGACAGGAAGACATCAGAATGGATGGTTTGCAGTGGGAAGCCACTGAAACAACCTGATACTTGAAATAATTAGAAGGGGAGATATCCAAAACACTTCTAAATGCAATGATACAGTTCGATGGGCACCCAGACCACATGCTTATTCCCTTATTACTTTAAAGAAGAAAGTACTACATTAAAAAAGAAAAGAAAAAGAAAAAAAAGAGGAAAGTACTACAGTCTTCATGCTGTTCTCTGTTAGGGTCACAGGAGATGGGAAACTGATGGGAGTGTTTAGCTGGATCTTCCAAAGCACTTAGTTTGTTTGGTTTCAGCTAAGTGATAATGTCAATATTAGGATGAGATGGTTGGATGGCATCACCGACTCTATGGACATGAGTTTGGGTAGGCTCCGGGAGTTGGTGAAGGACAGGGAAGCCTGGCATCCTGCAGTCCATGGGGTTGCAAAGAATCAGACACGACTGACCGACTGAAATGAACTGAACTGAACTGAATATGGGCCAGATCCTGACTCTGGAGTTTTAATGCCAATGTGCCCATTAGATTTCACTAAATATGTGGACACTTTGAGCCAGGTAGGTTAAAAGAGCAAAAGACCAGAATCTCTAAAGTCAGTTAATTGTTCTATTTGTGGACCATTTAAATTAGCTGTCATCAGAATGGCAAGTTTGGGGATTTTTCTTTAAGTTTCAGGAAGACTGAGTAAATCTCACTTCACTCTTGGCTCCATTTTAACCTAGAGTGAGAGGACTCTGTCATCTCCCACCATCATTTCATCTATCACTTTCACGAAAACTCAACATGCTGAGGAAACATACCTGTTTCCCAGAACCAGGATGGAGAGATGAGGCTTATCTCCTGTTCCCAGGTAGGACTTCCTGGAGATGATCCCAAAAGACCACCTTTCCCTTCATCTTTAAAAATCTCTGAAGACAATCCCAAGCCCTCCCATAGTGGTTAACCACAATTCTTATAATTTATCCATTCTTTATATGCAGGCTTTATCCTTCTATTGCAAAAAAAAAAAACTAGATTCAGCGTGTGGTTAAAGCATTGATCTCAGTTTTCAGCATGTAGTCAGCACTCAATATATGGCACCTTTTACTGTTATTTTTAATTGGTTAGTTATGCCCTTGACCTACAGTTTCAGCATAGGGAAAATCAGCCTCTAGCTGATGATACAAAGTCTTTTTGTTTTTAAAGACTGTTCAAAAGATTAAACCTATATAACTACTGTCTTGACCAAAAGAGTTGGTGGGTCCTGTGAGCCCAATTTAGGGAGGCAGTGGTATAAATAGCCAGGATCTCCAAGGCTGTGTGGTCAATGGCAGTGATGTGGGCAGCAGGCCTGTGGGTCCTCCTTCCTGATTCGGCCACAGGTACCAATCCCTGGTTTTCCCATTGACTTTGCTCTATTGGTTATAGGTTAAGGGCATCCTTTTGTCAGAACCTTTCTTCTTTTTGGTGGCTCAGATGGCAAAGAATTCATCTTCAATGCAGGAGACCCAGGTTCAATCCCTGGATAGAGAAGATCCCCCTAGAGGAGGAAATGGCAATCCACTCCAGTATTCTTGCTTGGAGAATTTCATGGACAGAGGAGCCTGGCAGGGCTACAGTGTCCATGGGGTCACAGAGAGTCAGACATGACTGAGCAACTAACACTTCTCTTTTTCAGAAACTCATGGCAGAGTACTAACCCTAACCCGCACTATTGGAATAAATATCACCATAAAGCCCCCAAGTCTGTCTTCATGTGACACCAACACAAATGACTGATTCAGTTGCACAGAAAAAAAAAAAAACCACTAAAAAACAAAACAAACCCACAAACATTTAACAACCTGCTTAACACTACTCCCTCGGTTTTCATCAGTCATTCTGAGTGTCCTGTGCAGACATGCAGATCCAGGGGAGACAGGGTTAAAGTGCTGTATTAAGAACCCCTCCCACACCCAGAAAATCTTCTCCATATGTGATGATTAAACCTCTGCAGTTCCTCTGCCTTTGCTTCTGTCTTAAGTGTCCTTGACCGTTGTACAAGTGCCGTGCATTTAGTAGTGTGTGTGCCTAGCAGTGCTGGCGGTGACCACTGGGCCATCTGTGTGACTCTGATGGCAGGCCGCCGACTATGGCGCTACCAGCCAGGTTGTGAAGGGAGATGGTCCCCTGGCCTCCTTGTGCCCAGGCCTCCACTTAGCCAGTTATCCGCGGATGTGAACATCAAAAGTAACCTGACTGGGTGGGGAAGCGGAGGAAGAGAAAACCTTTTCTTTTGACTTGGGTTGTTGTTCTAAGTCATGTCTGACTCTGTGACCCCATGGACTGCAGCACGCCAGGCCTCCCTGTAACTTTGCTATCTCCCGGAGTGCGCTCAAACTCATGTCCATTGAATCAGTGATGCCATCCGACCATCTCATCCTCTGCCACCCTCTTCTCCTTGACTGGGGCAAAGTACTAATTATTAGACACACTCAGTCAGCAAAGAGGTGTTGATGTGAGGGCTAAGGCAACAGGGACAGAATTCTAGAGACCTAGGACACTGGGAACGGAAGAGCCTTTCAGTATCTCTGGTCCTAATCCTTGACTTTCCAAATGAGAAATGGAGAAACAGACAGGTTAAGTGATTTTCCCGAGATTGCACGGGTAATCAGTGGAGAAATTCTGACTCCTTATCTAGCACTTCTTGGCTCATCAGCATCCAATAACAGTGGACTCAAAGAGAAAGTGATTATGGTCTGGGGTCTACAAGGCACAGAAAATAAGTTAGAAAAGCTGAAAAAGAGGAAACAAGATTCTCCCTCCACTTAAAAAAAAACTATTTCTCAATGCAAAACAGAAAAGGAAATGCTTGCCTAGGTATACAACAGTCCATTGGTAATAACCTACATTCTCCCCTAACATGAGAGGAAACCTACTTGGTAATGATGATTCTGATAAATCTGGTAAATCACAATGAAGTTACTGACAGTTCCCAGTTGACAGCTGGGATCTTAGTAATCTATTTACCTTAATAAAACCTTGTTTTAGTAATATGTATATATAATTTAAAAGTTGAATGCTGAGAGCAGCTATGTACTTTTCCGTATGTAAAATTT